CTTGACAGGTGTTTTTTTTTTTTCCCCCCCTTTTTTTTTTCTTGCCACAAAAAAAAAAAAGAAGATTTCTCGCACCTGCATTCGCCGGGAAACCTAACACCTTTTTTTACCTGCTGGTGGCTTTTTTTTTGGACTAGGGGCTTTTGCAGATGCTGAAGGGACCTGCGAACCGCCACGGCAGCAATCGCCCGGGGTGGCTGGAAGAGCAATTAAACAGCAAAAGCCTCGCTGGAGCCTCTGGGGTGATTTTGGGATCGGTGTCTCGAGGAAAAGGCTTTGGGGGCCAAATTTGGGGCAGCAGCTGGGTCAGGAGGGGGACAGGAAGGAAAGGGCTGCAGAGCGCGTTTCTGTAGTGTAGTGGTTATCACGTTCGCCTCACACGCGAAAGGTCCCCGGTTCGAAACCGGGCAGAAACACTCCCTTTTTTTTTTTTAATTATTATTATTCCTCTTATTTTTTTCCCCCTCCCTCTCTCCCAAAAGACAGTCTGCCTTGCCAGTTCAGCCCAGGTTTTAAGGCAGTTTTTGTGCACAAACGCACGCCATTACGCCCCGCTGCTCTGAAGTGGAAAGGGGCGGGAAGGAGAGAGGGAGTGAAAGAGGGAAGGAATAAGCAGGCAAGGGCAGAAATGCTTCTTAGGCAACACCTTTCCTTAATATGAGAGGGTCTCCCTGAAAAAAAGAGGAGGCCAAAAAAAAAAAAATACTCAAGGAAAAGGGAGTTCCCTGACCGGGAATCGAACCCGGGCCGCGGCGGTGAGAGCGCCGAATCCTAACCACTAGACCACCAGGGAGCCCATACGCAGCGTCTTGCCCGCTGCAGCCTCCAAGCCGTCAAAACCTGCTAATTTTCCATGCGTCTTCGACCCGTTTCCCACTTATTTTCGGCCCCTTCCCCGCCCTTACTCCACCGCGCCACCTCGGTGGCGACCCGCACCGCCAGTAGCAGTTTTGCACCAGGAGTCATGACTTTCTTTGGAGAACCGTGGCTCAGCCTTTCCCGGGCGCATCGAGATTACATTTCCCCGCGCCCAGCTGTTTCTTTCACAGAGGGAAAGCAAGCCCCACGGGCGGACCAGCGAGGCCCACCCTCGCACCCAGCAAGAAGCACTTGCCCGTAGCACGATGCAAGAATGGCTATTGCTAACGTAAGACTCAGCTCAGCTCAGCGCCGGTACAAAACAATCGCCACACCAGACTGCAAAAGCAGCAATTCCTCTATTACCATTTCCGTATTTTGCGGTCAGCGGCCGAGGCAAACAAGGCGTTTCAAGCTACCAAAGACGCATGTGTACAATCTGTCCAGGTATCTTAAAACACTGACTCCATTCACTGGAAAGATGCTCTCGTGAGCATCCTCCGTCCCCTCTGGATTCCTCCTTACGCTCCCAAGTAGCCACGAGGCGCTAGCTGGCCCCCAGGCGGTTGGTCGACGCAAGGTTAAAGCCGACGCTGCCTTCAGAAGGATTTGTTGCTCTTGGTTTTAGGCACCTCCAGTAGACTTGTCTTCGTGCCAGCGAGTCAATCTCCTACACGTGGTTTGTTGACCCATTTCTAGATGAGCTCAGTTATACCCTCGCCGTCCTTCGCTGACTCGAGCGGGACCATAGGTCGCATGGCTGCAAGGATTCGCCTCTCCGGGTTGCGACACACGTAGGGCAAAGATGTGACCGTCATGCAGCACTAAGCACTGGTCCAACACAAACTAGCGGTCTGGATGCTGTGGATTTAAAGTCGTACTGGCAGCCTTCCTGCAAGATCGAGTATTGTCCACCTCGCTGTTGGCTTGGCTGACCACCTCGGCGTCAAAGACAGCCAAAAAGCTCGAAGCCATCCTGAACTCCTTGCGTTCTCCAGGTTTGTGCATCTTCATCCTTGGCATCTAAAGGGAGAGGTTCCGTCATGCAGCTGCAGAGGGATGTCCAGAAAGTTCAGCGAGCTGGAAAAGTCGGGCAAAGGGTCCAACAAACAGCAGAAACACCCAGGAGAGGGTAGGGAGAGGGGAAACTGGGTCCGTCACTTCGGGAACCAGCATAGGTTCAGCTTGGCCGCGTCCTTGTCCTCCAATATAGAGGGAAAAAAGGTTCTTGAAAGGGGTTTTACGGGCACGGCTGCGCCAGGGCCGCATCGCTGGCAAAGTCTTCAGCCAGTAGAGCAGCCCTCGTCCCACGTGCCACCAGCTCTGCAACAGCAGATGCCTCTTGCTGAGCTGGACGATGGGGAAGGAAATTTTGCCATCCCGCTTGTGCTAGGCAGGACGGTGCCTTCTTCATGCTCCCCAAAGCTGCCTCTGGGGTGGTAGGACCCCGTGGTGTCTCCAGAGGCTTGCGAGTGAGGCTCAAGTGGAGCATGCCCCCAGAGCGGTCATGGGGAGAGCGTGAACTGGCACCCTCTCCCCAGGCAGAGCAGAGGGAGGATTCGCTCCCCTGCGAATGAAGCTGGCGGGTAGGTGAAGATGGGGGCCTCGTTTTTGGAGTCAAAAAAGGCCACTCGCCCCGCCTCGTAGTCCAGGTAAATCCCGATCACCTTGGGGGGAGCGAGCAGGGAGATGGGGATGGTGGGAGAAGTGAGAGCCTGGTACTGGCTCCCGCACTGCCCCATAGCCCAGATCCCCACCTCCGGGTTGACGCTGATCCGTCCCTTCCTCCTCACGGACTCCTTGGCCACCCCGACGGCCCAGGCTTCCCCGTCCCCCACCTCCACCTCCCAGTAGTGCCTCCCCGCGCCGAAACCCTCGCAGCCCAGGACGCAGCGGGAGGCG